TTATTTAAAGATTTGTGCATGAAAGTTCATCTTCAATCTTTTGACGCTGCTCCTGATAGGAAAACATAGAGAAATAAATGCAAGTATTGGCCTTATGGGAAAGGATGAGAGCTATTCCAAGGAAAATTAAAGAAAAAGAAATCTGTGTGGATATATGGTGTTTGCACCTGTTAATTTCAAAGATCACTATAAATACTGTCTTATAATACCTTTTGCCCACTGAGATTATTTGCATACCCATACTTGACTAAATACATTCAGGATATGTGCTTAAAGCTGGTTCTTCAGCATTTGCTAACATTTTATGTTGAAATGATTAAAAGAACAGTGTCGCGATTGGAGCAGCCACGTTTTGATCTGCCCTACCATTCAGGTAAATAATTTCCTTCCTGAGTCTGTTTAATATGTACTGCCTGATTTTATCCTGGCCCTGATGAGAGGTGGTAGTCTTGTTGGTTTCTGCATTAAAGATGGCAGGCAGTACTCCTGCTAGTGCAATTAAGATTGGGGGGGGGAAGTGTTCTGCTTGCTTCAGAATGTTTTTTTTCACAGGATGGAAGTTAAATATTTTGAATTCTTAAGTCTAGGTCAGTTTGGGGTGAATAATGCCAGTCACTACAAGGTTGAATAAGACTTAAGCAATTTTCAAATGGAGGCAGCTAGTAAAACTCATAGCAGCAAAGAAGAAAATATATGACTTGCTTAAATGATTATTTTTTAATTTCATTTTTTATGATTAACTTTAGAATTAACTGTATTGAGTGAAGTGATACCTAAAACCCAGGTTGCTAATGCTAGGAGATGAACTGACAACTAAAATAGCTTTTTTTAGATTGTTGCTCTCAAATGCCAGGATATGACTAGCGTGCTTGTGTGTGGCTGTCATCTGGTGCTGACTCAGCTGTGATGTGCCCAGCCAGCATCGTGTAGACTTGTTGGCTATAAGATATTCCATGCAGCCCATGGAAACAGATCTTGGATGTCCAGGCCACTGTTTGTAATAACTTCCTTTTTAACTTTTAAATAAGAAATCAATGGACCCACAGGACTGAAGGATGCTTGCATGAGTTACTTATCAGTATGGCCTAGAACTAATGCAGTGAATTACTAGGGTGGGCAAACAGTATCCTTAGGGATGCTTGTTATGTCCCTGACCCCTTGAATTCATGGTGGTTCATGCATCATTCAGTATAGTTTATAATTCCCTAATGCCTCACCAGTGATCTGGCTGGCTACAGCTGCATAAAGTCTATATAACAAAGGTTTAACTCCATTAACTTTAAAGTGTAATGTCTTGTTTTGATGCAAATGTCAATGACTAACAGAGGGGCATGGCTGTGTTGTGATTGGGAGAGATTTTCATTTTTCTCAGTAACCGTCCAGTTGCATGTGCTGTAAAGTAGCAGAGACCTCCCAGTTCGTGTCACTAAAGCCATGGTTTTGATGCTCACTGCTCCTTTAATGTAGGCTGAACGCTAGGCCTGCAAGAGCTTGTTATGGTTCAGGCACATCATACTATCACTGGAGTTTGTAGGAAATCATAATGTGATTCTTTTTTTCAGCTCATGGGCGCCTAGAAAAGCTGTGGCTGCAGTTTTGGTTTCTTGTTCTGTCAGTCACATTTTCAGTTGGTGCACTCTCACTTACATCCTCTGCAGGCTGAAAACACAGCGAGTTTGCAGGTGTTCAGTACTTTTTGAAACACCATCTGGCCTGAGTTCTGAAATAAGGATCTATCCTCTTAAATGGGAGATTTGGGGCCTCAGCATTTAATCTCTATATGCTTAACTCTTCCATTCTCTGTAAGACATAACTCTGCAAGACGGCAAAACATAACTGTCCATTTCCTGAAATGCATTCACTATTGGCAGGTTTCTCTTCAACATCTCAGGTTTGCTGTAAAATATGGAACATGCTGGATCTACACCATTGCTTTTGTGAACAGTTCAATACAACATAAGGCCACTCCTTGTTGAATATAATAAAGTACATTCTGTGCAAATTGATCCATGTACAATACAAATTGGGTAAAATAAGTTTGGTCCTGAGTATTCTGGATCATGGTTACTGTACATGTGTGAGGTTAAGGTGATTTTTGTTCTTGCTGATGCTAGTACTCTCCAATGTTTTCAGTCTTTAATAAGGTGGGAGCATGTGTTTGATACAGTACTAGTTGAAGTACTGAACTAAATTTGCAGAGTTAATGGGAGCAATATATTAAATGACAAAGATAAAGATGTGCACTTTATAAATCGCATCGCTTGCTTAAGTGCAGAATTTACCTTGCATACAGAATAGCGAGTAACAATAGGCGTCGCTATTCCTCAGCAATAATAAAAATTGTTCTTAAGTCAGGCTCATCAAATCAAGAAGAAAACCTTAAGAGAATTGGACAGTGAGAATTGCTGCACCTTGAGAAACTGTTCAGTGAATCTTGAATTGCTTTGAGACTTGCCTATAGTATTTGTGCTAGAAAGCCTATTTGTAGAGAGAAGTGAATCACCACAATGGGGTAGTGCTATAAAATCTATGCATCTTTTTATTCCTGTGCCACCTAACATTGCTGCAAAAGGATGTCCTGATCTGTGACAGGTCCTCCAGTAATGCACAAAGTTCCAGCATTCAAAGAGCTTTGTTCTTGGGGGAAAATGAGCATCATCAGGAACAGTGCAGAAGTGACTGGTATTCTTTCATACTGTAACTTTCTGTTTTGACCTTTTTTTTTTTTTCCTTAATTGTACAAGCTTTTTCTTTGGAATTCTATTTGCTGTTGCACTTTTCACTAGCTTGGACTGTCATTGTAATAGTATAATGAATCCTGGAAATAACATCATGAACCTGAAATGTTTGTAGCTGCATTTCCCCAGTCTCTATGGTGTGGCCAGTTTCTACTGCAGGGGCTTTGTAAATTAGTAATGTAAAATGCTTTGACAGTAAAGGTAAGTAACATCCTTTGTCAGGGATCTCGGCACACTTGACAGCACTTTGCAGTGGAAGGAAATACTCCCACTTCATAATGCTGATGTGTGGAAAGCAAAGGCTCATTCTGCAGTGAAAGTGAGGTAGAGCTTGGTGCCATTCTCTACTGCTGAGGAAGACTTCTAAGCATAATGATTTGATTCGTTGGGCTTCTGGTCAATCTCGGAACAATGACTTATTTTTGCCCTTAGTCCTACCTCGAGGGCCTTTGCTTTTGTACTGAACAGTTTGTGGAGGTTCTGACTCAAATTTGCTCTCCTACTGCCACACTTCCTTTTACTCTGAACAACTGCCTTTGCAACAAAACTTGCATTTTTTACAGCCCTAAATTTAAAGGCAAGCAAATGCTTAATTGCCAAATGACTTGCTAACAGCTTTACTCTTTTGTGCAGCAAGGACAGGTGACTTGTTTTTGCTTCGGAGACAGATGCGGAGCTGCATGGTGTGCTTTGGCTGGGCAGTATATGTTGATCCAGATGTCTTAGTTGGGCTGTCTCCAGAATGCCTCACCCTTTTTGCCTGGAAAATCCTTCCTCTTCTCTTCTCCCCCCCCCCCCCCCCCCCCCAAAAAAAACCCCAAAAAAACAACAAAACAACAACAACAACAAACAAACGGGGGGAGGGAGGAGTGGAATTAATTTCTCAATCTAATTTTGTGGCTAAATGAATTGCCCAATATGGAGTTGTAGAAAAGTGCAGCACTTCTATTACTAATATAGATTGGTATAGTAGATTGAGAATAGATTTGTCACTTGACCAGTTCTTTGTACTAGCTAAAATGAATCTGTCCACTCCACTATGAAGGTAGATTCTTGGAGTGTAACAAACAGCTGACACTCCTGAATGTTAGCCAAAATGTTAAGAGGAGACCCTTGTTGAGGTGCTTGGCTTGTTTAACTACAGCCTTGTCTTAAGGTGATTTTGTACTACTTTACTAAGCCAGACAAGCCTATGTGGACAGTTATTGCAAGTACAGAATTCTAGTGTAGGGGTTTCAGAGTTAATGCTGCTGCTTCTAGTTGGCATTTACGTAAATCTGGATAAGGCATGCAAGCGCCAAACCCAGTTTTTGTTAGTTCAGAAAAAGACTTTGTGGTGCTCTGTCCTATTGCTGAATGGTGCTGATTGACATCAAAGCCTATTTAAAAAAACCAAACCAGTTTTGCTTTCAAATTCAGAACTAGGCACTGCCAAACATGCTATTAAATTTTGCTTCACAAATATGAAGCTACAAAGGATACTTGGCTGGGGTTACTTCACCTTTTTTATGCTTTGAGACTAAAAATGATACTGAGGAGATGTAGTATGGCCACATTTCTGGTGGCATGAAAGAATTTCACAACCATTTCTTTCTGTTACATCTTATCCTCTGACCAGGAAAGGGTGGCATTGTTTGAAAGAGATTATCATGCTCTTATTTGCAATCCCCACATGAACACTTTTCAGGTGTGTAGCATTTGGCCATTTCCATTTTTGGCCTGAAATTTCCTTTAAAAAGTTTTTTAAATGCAGTTGTTTCTAAGAGCTAGTTTAGTAGTTTTCTATTGACTATCATCAAAAAAGTATCTGAAAGTTGTACTCAGAGCTTGCACGTGTCCATTCCCTCCCCACCCTTCCCCTCCTCCAGTGTAGGGTGTGCAGAGAATGTTCTTCCATAGTGTGCTTTTAAAGGCACTTCTGGTATGTGGCTGCCAAGATCCTTTATACAAAGTCTGGGGATACCCTCCTAGGATGCAGCTGTGGGCTCAATTCTCTGGACTTGAAGTTCTTGTCCAGATATTTTTTTTCCCCTTTCACATGTGCACATCTACTGTCCTTTTTGTATGTACAAGAAATGTCAAAATACTATAGGTTGATCACATAAGCTTAAGCTGGCACAATGGTATTTTTCTAAAGCTAATCTTGGTTTTATTTGTTTTTTGTCACTTGGCTGTA